AGAATGGCTGCAATGATGCCTCAGGGACCAGGGCAGATAGAACATATACTTCTCACTTCCAAACTCACCTGAATAACTGAGAATCTAGGGTTGAACAAGTGGCAGGTAATTATAGTGGATGAGGAAGCTGAAAGTAGCCTGAGGCAGACATGTCCTGCAGGCATAAGGTGGGTCAGATCAGAGGAATGGAGACGTGAGGAGAAGAAGGAGAGATGGGACAAGTTGTGCTAGAGCGAGCAGAACTGATGGAAGTAGAACCAAAAACTTGAAAGAAGTAGAACTGTCCTCACAGAGGTGTGTTAGGGAAGTACAAACAGAGCAGGGACATGCAGTATGCAAATGAACCATTCAGGGCTAGTGAATATAAAAATAAATCCCAAAGTGTTATTTTAAAAAAATACAATGACTTAAAACGGAAAGAGCACAGCTAAAATATTAACTAATGAGGTGATGATAAAAGAGAGCTAATAGACAATAGGGAGGAGATGGAGAATCAAATGAGGGTCAAGGGAGAGCAAAGGAAAGAAAGTGAAACGTTACACACACATGCACACACACACACACGTGCCAACTCCACGTGTCAACGCAATTATTTCCTGATAAGTTTAGAAAGAGCTACAATTAATGCTGCCTGCCAAAGTACATTTGCTACATCCCCTGAGTTTCCTCTTTTATTATTTCTGTTCTTTTTTGTTTGTTTCGGAGACAGAGTCTCACTATGCTGTTCAGACTGGCCTGGAACTCATGGCAAAACTAAAATACACCTTCCTTTATGCCAATACATTTTAAAATTGAGAAGCAGTGCACAGTGTGTGTGAAAACATAAAATGGAGCACAACTGACTCCAGAAGTGAAGAAGCTGGGCAGTCCTGTCTAACCTTCTCCCACATTTCACCTGTGTGTTGGCTTCCTCACTGTCACCATACGGGTGAGCGTGTAGCTTCTAAAGTGGAAAGGTTCATGTTGTCCACCGTTCTGGAGGTTCCAGTCCAAGATCAGCCAAACTGTTGCTTTGGGCCTCTGCTGGGCATGCTGGATGGCAGTGGCAGGAAGCACAGGGTGGACACCCCTTTTGAGGTCACAGCTGACAATCCTAGGTCTAGTGACTGCTGTGGATCACACGGGGCAAGATAATACCTGCTAAAGGTGATAAGGCCTCTAGGGAAATTATAGTTTCCACATTGTTCCTCTGTCTCATCTTTGTCCTCCTTCTTGTCCTTGCCCTTGTCCTTATCCATGCAAGAATGTCTTGATCTTCCTAACCCACTCTAGGCACCATGACTGTTCCCAGAAACACCCACTGCCCTTTCCCTCATTGTCCTTGATCCAGATCTAAGGAATAAATATGAGAAGTCTGGGTGCTTTGCGAACTTTTGCTCCTAGAGAGAAACTGGTGGTCCCAAATCCCTGTTATGCACCTCTCCACTTTTTCCGTTGCTCATTCTTTCCTTTCCCACACTTCAGTGGAAACAGGGCAGGAGACTGAAACCCGCTGCAGGGGTCTCCGCAACACTTTGCTCCTAATTCTCAACACAAATCTAGCTGAAAGCCCCAACTCTAGCCCTGCCACTGCCTCCATGTTACACAGCCTTGACATTTCTTCTACAAGTGAATTAATCTGCTGGCCTAAATCTCAGTCTCTGGCGAAGTATCCGGACACAAGGAAAAGGCAGGCAAATTTTGTGCCAAACCATAACACACATCTTCTGAAGTCCAGCAGCCAGCGCATTCCTTCTTCCCAGTAGGAAACTCCTGAGCCTGGTCTTTACCAGCAGGAATTCTATGAGCATTCTGATCTTCTGAGCTCTGACCAGAATCTCCCATCAAGTACAGCCTAAGGCATTCCAGCTCTAATTTTTCAGCCTGTATCTCTGAACCTTTCCTAACTCTTACCTTTCTCTCAAGCCAGTTCAAAAGACTATTGAGCCACATGGCCAGGTAATGTCACAGCAATGACCCTTCTTCTCTGGTACAAATTCTGTCTTCATTACTATTCTCATGGCTGAGACAAAATACCCAACATCCACAACTTAAGGGAGGAAAGGTTTGTTTAGCTCACAGTTTGTTGAGGTTTCAGTCCATAATCAGCTAGATCCAGATAGGCATCCCAGAGGGGAAACAGATCTGGGTGGTCAGAAGGTAGCAAAGCAACAAGCGATGACCAAACCTCTTCCTACCCTTATATCTTATCTGGGCAAACTACGGTAGGAGCATTCACACCATTCATCCTAGGGCCCTTAAGCCTAGCATGGCACCTTGACTCACTTCCAGCATCACATACTCTAGATCCAGCCACCTCGGGAAAAGCCCCACTGCCTGTGACTGCTTCAGGCTTTGGGGAGACATCTAGATACAAGCCATGTCAGGGATACTCAGTGTGCATAACATAGGACGTGGTCACATACAAAACAATCTAGAGCCCTACATTGCTTCCCCAGAATGCTCAGTCAGACACTCTTGAAAGCTAAAAGAAATGACAGTTTTCCAAGACTTCCAAACATTGATCATAAAGAGGGAGCACTCTCCAACTCTATCATAAGGATGTATTACCCCAGATATACTAAATTCAACAGAGACAGTTGAGAAGGAAAAATTACAGT